CCACTGGAGGAAAAAATATGAGCTTCTTTCTGTTGCAGTGTAAAACAGTGAGGTGAGGTCCAGGGCAAAAGTCCTAAGAGCTTTGCCTGTCTCTTCCCAAAGTAATGACTGCCATTACAAATCATTTGCTCCTTTCATTAAAGCTCCAGTCAAAAGAAAATTAGCTCCAAAATTTCAGATGCAAAGTGCTAAATTGGAGGAGAGGTTAGCTGGAGAAAGAGCTTTTCCTGAAGCACCTATTTGGGCAGCTCTTCAAATGGCATTAACTGTCATCTTTGGGCAAAAGCTCACCTAGGGCCTGTCTTGTAAAAGTTCCATATTGTATCATTTTGGACGAAAAAGTACAAAACTCCAGAACTGGGAGGGAATTATTAAAATAGGGAATGGAGTTTCCACCTCTCCCTCTTTCCAGCTCGGAAATGGTGACACCATCAGTATTCCATCCATGGTGAGGTCCCTTTGCAGACACAGGAACGTTGCCCCAGTCTCCCTCTGTTTTGCAGGTGTGGTTTTTGGGTGCTGTTATACAGATATTGATCTTTTTTCTTAGGCTAATTCAGTTTCCCATTTTTTAGCCCTTTAAAGCCGTTTTCCGTATCAATCTAAGGGTACTCTTGCTGCGGCGGACAGCACAGAGAACCCGCGCAGCGGGAGACAAGCTCCTCCTGGGAAATCTGTGCTGGCTTCAGATAGACCTTAATTTATTTGATAAAGGCAAACCTGTAAACAACCTAATCTCTCCCTCAGGCCTCAAAAGTCCTTCTAATTATTAGCACCAGAAGGAAGCTGAGTTTGATTCCTGCTCCACGGAGCCGGAGGGATTATAGCCACTTCCAGGTCTCTCTCTCTTTAATTTTTTAACAGTAGCATGTTTTAGTCTAGTCTGGTAATCAACGATGAATTCCAGCTCTTTGCTGGATGTTCCTAATTTGCTGGGTCTCTGAGCACCGCAAACTTTTCTTGACGCTTTGTGGAAGTATGTCCTGGACCAGTTTTTTTGGTTTACCACTCTCACTGCATTTTGGGGAAAATAAAGGATGTAAGGAAGTTATGCAGAGAAACTCTATTTTTTTTGTGCCTTCATATTCCTGTTGTTCATTCCTCCCAGGTAAAGAGTTCTCTTTTTTCCCAGCCTCTTTTTATCTCAGAAGCTGTAATATTCACAACTGAAAAAAAAGAAAAAAAGTAAATGTAAGAGCTAAATCTCCAAAGTCTGGAGACTACAGAGCTGCTGAATAAGACAGAGCCGCGTGCAGGTAATTGCCGGGGGATAAAGGACGTCTGTGTCCTCATTGTAGGACATAGTTATTGTCTACCTAATTTCTGTATTTTATGACACTTCATGATATTCACAGTGTTTTTTTGGTAGTCAGCTGGAGCTGCAGGGTGTATGTAAACCAGCTGTGTGTATTTAGGGAATTCAGTTATCTGGACCCACAGGTCTGCATTTTTTCCCCGATACAAAAGGCGAAAGGTGCATTTCCCTTTGTACCTGCAGCCGGGCTCTTTTGTTTGCTCTTGTGTCTCCAGAGCTGCCAAGTACTTTTAAAATCACCATTGGGTTTGCATTCCAGACAGCAGATGGATTTTTTTTTTTTTTTTTTTTAAATATGGCAAATCAGAGGGTCTTGAGCAACCGTATTGCTCAGGTATGGACAATTTTATCCTGTTCCCGTGCAAAATATTCCTTCTTCATTCATTATTTGCACAGACTTCCCTCCCCCGCACCCCCATTCTCTCCTCCTCAGCTGCCTAAGCGACTTCCTACTATTTTATTTCCTTTTTCTCACTTGCGCCTTCACTCCTTCCTTCGGGTCCACTTTGGCTTTCTTCCTAAATAACATGGTTTGGGGCTTTTTGGGGGTGTGTGTGTGGTATTTTCACAGTGGATTTCACATCACTGCATTGCTTTGATCTCAAGCTGATTCCCACACGTGTGCTCGGCCACCTGCCCGTCCCATTCAGCAGAACTGAAAATGTTTCTCTGTCCAAGCCAGCCCCAGTCACCCCTCGCGCTGCTGCAGGCAGGGGTCAAAGCCGGCTCCGTCGTTGCTACTGCCGGCCTTGGCTCTGCCTGCTCCAGCCGGCAGTGATCCATGCCACCGGCTGCAGCGCCGGGCAGCTTCCAAGCTGCTGGAGGAGAAAACATCGCCATATTTTGGAGGTCTCAGAGTCGAGTGCCTGGGGGACAAAGGGAGCAGCCTGCACCCTGGTAGGGAGGACGGGGTCCTGGAGCATCACTGCTCCAGAAATGCCCTCGTCCCCGAGCTGGCTGGTGACTTTTAGCCAATCCTTTCTCTGATGTGAAGGGGAGGGAGAAAACATTTAGACATTAATGAAATGTTTTCTTTTTTACATGTCCGTTTTCATCTAAAAGCACCACTCTATGTCTCCTTTGATTAAAACACAAGCAGATTTCCTCTCCCTACCCCTCTCCAATGCAGAGTTCAGCCTCCAAAGAGGGATGCTGACAGAAGTCCATGCATTTTCTGGAAAGGACTAAGAAAGCTGTGCTCCTTCCATAGCTTTCCTTTGGTCTCCCTGATAGATGCACAAGAGATGTACCAACCCTACATCCAGCACACAAGGGCATAAAAAGGTACAATTTTTTCCCTTGTTGCTGCTTCCCTATCCCTGGTGGCTGGAGATGATTTTTTTCCCTTGTTGCAGCTTGGAAGGGACCTCAAGGCACATCTGGTCCAACCTTTCTCGGAAAAAGCACGGTCTAGACAAGCTGGCTCAGCACCCTGTCCAGCTGAATCTTAAAAGTGTCCAATGTTGGGGAAGATGTTAGCTGAGCTTTAAAACCATGCTCAGACCTCTCTTTTACCTGGAAATGGGTTCAGTGCAAAGGCGACACCAGTGTGTAAGCGTAGAGAGAAGCTTTGGAGGACAGGAGATGAAACGAGGAGCTCTTGGGTGTCCCCTTACTTTCCCCCAAGGAAGACCCCACGCTTGCGTGAATGGGTTGGTGTGACCGGTGAGCAAAGCCCACCCAAGGCTGCACCGTTGGCAGCCGCACTGGATGTTGCTGCGCTCTCCCACGTCCCCCCCTGCCTGGGGGAAGGCTGTGGAGGCACGGCGCCTGCCCCCATCCCCAACAGTGGCACGGGGAGTCCTCAGGCAGCATCTCTGCAGTATCTTTGGGGAGACTTGAAAGGGGATGGGGGCACCGATGGTTTGCACTGCATTTGCATTCTGGGATTTGCAGCCTTTGCTGCTTGCCTAAAGAAAGAACAGATGTATTTTTTTCTTCCCTTAGCTTTTGGTTTAGAAAGATTTTGTTCTGCTTTTCCCTAAAGCATTGGAGACTGACAGTGGTTAAAGACCGTTGCTGGGCAGTGTGTCTGCTCCTAATATATTAAACATCTCTCCTGTGCCTCCTTGGTGTCCTGCTCAGGGGCTTATAGGCAGATTTGGAAGCTGGTGGCACTTTTTTTTTTTTTTTTTAGAAAACTGGGTTGTCTGGGTGGCATTTGCCTTCCTCACCAGGGTTTGCTGTGGTCTGGGCTATTTCTTGGCATCAGCTCAGAGGGTCCAGGCACTGCCAGCAGTCTCCTGCTCTTCTCTTTTTGTGTCCTTTTAGCATTTAGCTACTTTCTTTATGATCTTTTCTAGATCAACTCTTTGCTGGAGGTTGTTGGAGCTACTGGAGGCGGCGAATGCTTTGTGGGTTCCGAACTCAGTGCTTGTCAGCTGGCTACTTGCCCCTGGCTAGAAACAGGGTCTGGTAACAGAGTGCTCCCTGCAGTGCCGGGTACCCAGCATTTAAAATAGGGCTGTCTCCCTTTCAGATGTAGCTGCCTCTTAGGAGTCAGGAACACGAGTGTAAGAGACCATAAATCCTTCTCACTGCAAGCTCAGAACCTGGAGGTTTAATATCCTGCAAAGTAATATATATATTTTTTTTGTTTTTCTCCATATTCTGCCAACCCCCAGTTGTAAAGGCGGAGGATGACGAGGCAGCGAAGGCTGACAGAGCATAGTGATAGGCACTGGTACCAAGCCTGGTTTAGGTTTAGTGAAACAGCTTGGCTGGCACCAAAAGACCCCATAAAACCCCAAAGAAGGATTCCCATCAGCTTCAATGGGGTTTTGGCTTTGGCCTGACGTGGAAAGGCTCCCACTGACTCCAGCAGGGTCTGGATGTAGCCCAGCAGAGCCCTCTTCTTCCAAGCACCCTCCTCTTCCAACTGCCCTCCTCTCTGCCTGCCCGGCACAGCCGTGTCTCCCTGAGCTCTCCTGCCCCAGGACAGGCACTAGGGTTTGTGTCTGGAAGAGCTGCTCACACCAGGGAAGGTGCAACATGGCCAGCCTGTGGAAGAGGAGGAAAGGGCCCTCACGCGCGTGAAGCATTTCACACCTACGTGAAGGTAAATCTTAAAAACATAATTAAAAAAAAAAAATCTCTTTTAACACCTCGGTCCCAGTGCCCTCGTGCTTAGACTTGAGGGCAGCTTGAGGCTGACTCCTGCCTCTGTAAGAAGGGCTCAGACTGGAGAATATGGACATTTCACAGATGGGGTTAAGCACTGATAACTTACTTCTGTGCCCATCCTTGCTGGTGTTTTCAGGAGATGTGTTTGTCTGGAGCTGATGGAAATGGAGCATTTCCCAGTATGTAACTTATTTCAGTGCTGTTCCAAAGGCTGCTGGAATGCAAGAGACTTCCAGAGTATTTTAATAAATATAAAAATTTAAAACAAGTGCAGACGTGCTGGTTCCTGCCAACTCTCCTTCCTTTCCCATTCAGGGTGTAAGTTGTATTGCTTTTTTCTTAAAGTACCAGCTGAAGAAAGAGCCAGGCAGGCTATAACAATGCGGGGAGAAAAAACATCACTGCCCTGCTCTTAATTTCTTCCCAACCTCTCTGAATAGCTCGTCCCATGCCGCTCCGTCCCGCTCCGAGCAACCGGCCAAATTTTTCCCACAGGAAGCGCCTTCGGGATTAGAAAGCCGAGATTTTTATATGGAGTGTGTTTGTTTCTCTGATCACCCAGGAATATAATGGCCGAGTCAATCACTTGTCAGAGAGGGCTCATTACAGCCGGCGGAGACAAGGAGCCGGGCGGCGGAGGGCAGGCTGTGCGCAGCGGGGTGCGTGGCACGGGCAGCTCGCTCTTTCTTCGCCCCCGCGCTGCTGCATTCTCTCGCCTGATGCCGATGAAGGATGGGTCGCGGCGGCTGGTGGGCTGCCCCCGGCTGAGCCCCTCTGGCGGCAGTGGCGGCGGGGATGGAGGATGCTCAGCCGCGTGCCCGTCACCTCTGTCCCTGGCGCTGCGGTGGGCAGGGTCCCCGCGGCCACCCCGAGGATACGTGTCACCTGGGGTGACAGCGGGCAGGGCTGGGGAGCGCATCCCACCCTTCTCCTGCTGCACATCTGCGGGTCCCCGCTGCCTCCTCGCCTCCCAACCCGCCACGAGGCTCAGCGCTCTGCCGAGCTGCTGAAATCACTGCGAAACGAGGGCAACACTAATTAGCGCAATTAGTCCTTTGCCCTCTCCCTGGTGGAAAACGAAGGCAGCGGTCGCCCCGCTGAAGGCAGGCGTAGCTCTGCCTGGGGGCTGCCAGGGTGTGTGCAGTGGAGACATGCTGGCACCTCCCCGTGCTTGTCGAGCTGACCTGAGGGTAAGCCAGGGCAGGTTCCGTAACCCATTTTGCAAAGATAAATTTGTTGCCCGTGTCCCTGCCGGCTGTGGGATTCCGGGTGTCTCGCCTTGCTGGTGTCCCGCCAGCGCCAGGACGATCTGTGGGCTCTCTCGCCTGGAAGCGAAAAGAGGTAGCAGGAACCTCCCCGAGCCAAAAGTTAATCCAGCTCCACGCGACCAGAAACTTATGCTCTGTAGCCGCAGAAATTAGCTTTTTTAGTCCCATTTCAAAGTTAATCCTGCCCGGAGCTGGTTCAGCACAGTCTCGCCTCCCTGGTATCTATAGGCACGGAAACTCAGCCATTTTGACATTTCTGGCTGCGAATCCTGCCCTTAGCAAACACACTTGATGCTGATACAAGGTCTCTTGGCTGCCTGCGCTCGTACCCATCTGTCGCGGTGGCACTGTGCCCACAAGCAAGATGCTCTGCTATATTTGCCGCGGCATAGGTGCCAAGCAGACCAGATGTTTCCAGCAGGAAAGTGGAATGGGGAGGCAGGGTCCTTTTTTAAAACTCCTGGCTCTCTTGGCAGCACTGTGGGGCAGAAGCGTTCACCTCACCTGCCCCCACCACCCCGGCCAGCGCTCCCCGACTCCCCGGGGGTGTTTGCTAAGCCAGCCCCACGCCTGCTGCCTGCGGACAGACAGTCACCCGCTGCTCCCAGCAAACTGCCTTCGTCTGCTGCAGTGGCCAGAGGCAGGAGGTCCCCATCCTCAGGGACAGCCAGGAGGGAGAGATGATGCTGATGCTGGTGCGGGTACCGGTGCCTGTACGGGTACTGGAGATACCAGTGCAGGGCTCTGGCAAAGGTGAGGTGAGGAGTGTGTGACGATGCTCGCGGCTGGGTTTTGTATTTCAGCACCTCTCCGCAGCCTGTGAGCCAGCGCTCGCTCAGACCTCAGACAAGTCCCAGGAGAGACAGTAAATAAGATGTTATTTTCCTCTCCGGCTGAGCGGTAATTTTCTGCCAGCCCACACGAGCAGGGAATTGCAGAGCCTAATCACAACCTCTTATCCCCTCAGCAGTGCCGCTCAGCCCCAGGAGGGCAAGGCAGCGTGGGCAGCAGGGCAGGAGCAGGCAGGGAAGAACCCTGGTTAAGGCTGGGAGCACGTGAGCCGGCGATGGGTACAAACCACCAAGCAGGGAAAGGAGGATGCTCTGCATCTGGAGGGTCCTCCAGGGCTGCACCTGGTTGTGCCTTTTGGGGCAAAACACTGCCCATCACTGGCTGGGTGGGTGCAGAGGGGAGGGCAGGGCGAGCCCCGGCTCCCCCAGGACCAGGAGGGCACGGGACAGGTTTGTGCCCCATCACATCCAGCCCAGGCAGCGGCCTCCCCAAAGCTGGGGCAGAAATGAGTGGGAGCACCTGGTGCTTGGTTATTCTGAGGAACTTGGAGTTTTTCAAGCAAGGAAAAAAAAAACCAAACCCAAAACATCAGTAGCAGTTGTGAGCGTTTCAGGAAACAACTCGTTGGTATCTGTTCTCACCAGTGAGAGAAAAATCAACCCTATAGGATTACAGCCTGCTTAAATCTGGGAATAAAGGATATTTGAAGTCTCTCTCTGTTAACAAACCCCCCTGGAGTTTTTTTCTTGATATGACTGTCGTGGAAATGTTGAGGTTAGACGTATCCACCCTGTATGTACGCTGGCTCCCCCCTCAGATGGGGGAGCTGAAAGAAATGTGTATGCTGTTTTTTTTTTTTCCTGGTGCTGAGACAGTTGAATAAGACAAATCCCAGGTAAGGCGAAGAGCGGCCATCTGTAGCGATGCCGCTCTGCCTAAGAAGAAATGCGATTCTTTAGGGTTACTTACTGACAAAACAGCAAGATTGCATTTAAAACACAAAGCAAGCAAAAAGTTTGAGTAATTCTTGCAAAAAATCTGGTGGTTCTATATTTATTGTTCTGATTGACTTAAAAACTAAACTGCATCTGTGTTATTCTAATTAAGCAGCTCAGTGCTTCTGTAGCGTCGTAGTGAGCATCTTGTCATGGAGTCGAACTCTGGAAAATAGTTTGAAGGCTCCTGAGACCAAAAACCTGTATTTTTATTACTGTTGGCTGATGATGTTTGTGGAAGTTGGAGCAATGACCTGATAATTTGCCAATCACCATGAAACATGCGCTGTTAAACTTCTCTTCTGGGTGTCCCATGTGAAATCTCAGCTGCTTTTGATGCTTTATGAAATACAACTGAGCTTTTAAAATTTATGGGGAGTTGTGATGGACCTGGGGAGCTGGTGCTGCTGGCTTTCAAACAGATGAAACTGTCCTTTTTCAGTGCAGAAAATTGAACTTCTTGCTTTTTGTACTAGCTAGTGCCTATGAAGACTAGGCCAATTTGCTGAGCCAGCTTCAGAGGTTGCAGCATTTGTTTGTTTTTAAGTAGAGCTGGCCAGAAGACAAAGATCCTGTAATACTACTGTAGTGAGGCCTTGGGTTTCCTTACCTTTAATTACGAAACCTTGGGAAACTTTTTTCTGGAATTAAAAACTGTTGAGAGACAGGAATTCATCCACTCTAGACAACAGAAGACCCACCGCCGCCGCTGGAGATCCTCATCAGAAAGCCTGTTCATCAGAGCTGATGTGGTCCTCCCAAAATACCCTGGTTTCAGTGGATAAAAACTCACCAGTGCTTGTGACAACTTTTTTTTTCCCTTTCAAATCCAGCCTGTAGGAGGGATCAGAAAGGTTTCTGACCTGCCCAAAGCAGAGGAGGACAAGCCCCCATGAAGCCCGTTCCTGGTGCAGGGAGGCTGGAGCGAGGCTGAGAGCAAGAAAGAGTCTCCTCTTGGCAAAATCACTAAGAAGCAGATAGGGCTACTTAAGCCTCGAGGTGCATTTAATGAGATTAAGGTTCCCCAGTCGCTCTCTCTTGCTCTCTTCCCGCTCTAATTAACTTCCACTTGAACTCCCCTCCCAAACCATCAGCCTCACTGGAGGTGCTGGCGACGATACCGGGGGCCCTGCCGGGCTGGAGGAGCTGCTGCAGCAGCCATGGGTGACAGTGGGGGACAGCAGGGTGTCCATGGGCAGGTCACTCACTGCGATGGGGCCCTTTTCTCCCTGCAATGCCCCAGGGACACAGAGCACCCAACCTGGGAAGGGAGCAGAGCTTCAGGCACGGTCACAGTCCTGTGATGAGGCACAGAGGCACTTCGGCACTGGAGTACCTGCCCTCTTGCCTGTGACTAGTTTCATTAGTCAGTATTTTGGAGCAGAGGGAAGAATTTGGTTTTAATTCTTCTCCCCACCACTTGGTCTCTAGTTCCTCCCCTCCATTAAGACCCTGTGATGAAGCTGCAGACCCGTTTCTGGGACCTCTCCCACATCTGCCAGCATAGCCGGGGAAGGTCTCTGTCAGCAGAGATGCTGTTTTTGTTTCCACGCTGCGTCGTGTGGATGCCCAGGGACGTGTCCTCTTGTTGGAGGGGATTTGCTTCACGTGGCAAACGAAAGAGAGGGGAAAGAATGTTAAACACCCAGCTCTCCTGCGGAGGAGCAGACAGGGTGCTCCTGGGCTCTTCCCACCTCCCTCTGGCCAAGGACTGCTCTCAGATGAGACTTTCCAACCCGGTCTTCCCCATTTCCCTCCCGGCTGCCCTAGGCAGGGGACAGTTTGCCGTAGTCCCCTGCCAAGCCGCCTGCCCTCTCCCCAACCAACCCACCACTGCAGC